AGAAGGCAAACAAGATGTTTCTCGCTAAGCAGGGTCCCCAGGGGGCACGCCTGACACTCTGGGCGGGGGCTGCGCTGTGCACAGCTTTGCAAGGCACATGACAGGAGGGGCCCCTCCTGGCCCAGGGGTTCCGCTGCCGGAAGCGCCCACATCCAGCTCTTTCCCCTGCAACTCCTGACATGCTGCAGCCCGTACGTTCCACTGTGTCGTTGCTGACCGCCTCCCGAAGGCCGCCCGTCCTCTTCCCCACCCGCCCTCTCTGCGCCACGCACACCCGCGTCCTCCCATGTGGCTTCTCACCCGGCCTCGCTCGGCCGGTCTCGGGGTCACCGCGGCACCCCAGTCACAACTTCACTTTCCCTGCCATTGCACTGACTCGCCCCCGCCCATTTCATCCCCAAGCTCTTCGGAGAAAGGTGACGTGGTAGGTTAAGAGTGGGTGATAAAGCCCAGCATCTTCCCCTACAGCTAAGAGAACCAAAGCCCAGAAAAGAGACTTCCTCAAGGCCACAGAGAACGTTACTAAAACGCCCACGACATATTCGGTGTGTGCACACGCACGCACACGCACACACACGCACACACATGCACACACACAAGCTCGGTGAAGGCGGCCGAGTGAGTGCCGTCCACAAAGGCTACATCTAGGAAGAAAAACCTGAGATGTGAAGCTTTGCTCCTCCCAGGCGCAACCTCACCCTTTTCCAGGTGGCCAGCAGCTGCTTGTCGGACATCTGCTCCGGGTAATCCGCGATGGCAAACACACAGCCCAGCAAGAAGCCTTCCTCTGGGACTAGAGCAGAATCACGCGAGAAAAAGAAGTTTAAGCCCGGGAACATGTGCACCCACAAACGAAAAACGGTTCTGCGGACCTCAGTCTGAGTTTGTGCAGCCACCCTGGACCAGCGGCGGTGTGAGCGCGGTGCCGTGGGCGTCCGGCCTGACTGTCCACGCTACACGAGGACGATGTGGCACCAACGCGGCGTAAGCCGGGTGCTGAACCCCACATCAAGCCTGACGCTCTATGGACACCCACCTCCACCCAGCGTCTGACGTGCCAGACGGAAGAAACGCACCCGCGCCAGCGCGACAGCTACGCCCCTTGCCCGGCTCGAGCGCCAGGCCCCCCGTGCTGTGAGAATTACTTAGACGTGGGGCCCCAGCCCCACCCACCCGCAAACACTTCCGAAGCGTTCACGTAAGCGCGACGCTTTCGGGAGAAAGAAAGAACACGCAGCACTAACGCTCCAGGGCCGGGTCGTGTCCAAACAGCTGCTGCGGCGGC